CACAATTGCTTATTCTCTTGACTGGAGTGTGTTGGGGACAAAGCCCAACACCAATCATAGATACCAAAATCAGCCAGATGCGAGATATCTTTTGTATTACCGGAGATCCAACCGGCACCACAGTCATGACCAAGAACCAAGTGACTTCTTAATTCCAAACAATAGATAAAGACTCGATCCCAAAACACTTTTGGGATCCCTTTTCTTGTCATAAAACGAACATACATTTTTGTTGCTTCACGAATACAATCTTCAGCAAGGTTCTGATCAGGATTGTAAGGCTCGCTAGGATGTATTGAAACCTGGACCTTATTTGCAACTCTTCGAAATTCTCCAGCAGTCAACGATTGAGCATCATCAGGTTGGAGAACTCTTGGAAAGCCAATATCACGAAATAGTTCCTTGAGCGTGTTGCTCACTTCAGATTCTTTCTTCAAAGCGTAGCCACGGGCCCATTGACAGGCAGCAGTCTTGAGCCTTCGACTTTAGTCCAGTCCCGCAAAGCACGCTGGGTTATTTTCTTGAGAGTGCAACGGGCACATTCAAGGCTGATTTGCCATCTTCGCGCAAGTTGTTCAGGTTTGACCAAATAGCTCTTGCCATGGGTTTTAACACCATTGATGGTCGCCTCAACTCTGTCCCCTAAAGCGATAGGAAGAGCGAGTGGGCAAATAGAGCGGTAGTTGGGATCCGAGCGGTCAACAGAATAGATTTGTTGAGTGGCAATGTCCCCTTGATATTCACATCGTAGATTTTGTTTGATGTGAGAGGATTCCGGGTCATAAGGTTCCCAAGGGACGGAACTGGTCATTTCCACCGAGACATATTCATCAAGTTCAGACAACGCAGGTTTGCGACAAGCAAAGAAGCTGATAGGCTTCAGGAAGTCCATCAGGATATGTAATCCCGAGTTTTCATCAATAATGGAATGCAAATATTGATTGCGATCTTCACGGGCACATCATTCACAATTATACCAAAATCTCCAAGTTGATCAACACAAAGGAGATTATTTTTCATGGTTGGGATGTACAATGCTTGATCAAAGATCAAGATATACGTTTCAAGGGACAGAGGGCAATCATAAGCAACTGCAACTTTCGCAACTTTAATGTTAGGCACACTGTCGAGCGAAGGATCAAAGCCTTTTACTGTCAAGGTATGGGGATAGGTTGCAAGAGGCAAACAATTTTTGCCAAAAGCACAAGTATGTGCGTGTGAGTCAAGCTCACATTGGGGCAAGGAGTGGGAAAGGGACATTAAAACACGAACACAAGAGGAAAGGGAACAAGTAACACGAATCTGATAGTCGGCCTCATGTCAGCGACGGCCACGTCAAACTCCACTACCAACGTTGCCAGAAGAGGGTGCTGGAGCTGGTGTAGGAGCAGGTTCTTCATTTTGTTGGCGGTCATGATTTTGTTCATGCAAAGTGTTCAATTCCGCAATGTCACGTTCACTCATAAGACAACTGTTAGCACGTTCACGGCGAGGACAACACAGCAATCACGATCAGAGAAACGGCTCCAAGTGTCTTGGGAGTATCCACCGTTGTTGAGGATGGTCGTGCCATCATCGGACCATACAGTACCATCGTGGTCGCGACTACCACCTCGTCCGCGACCCCCACCACGTCCATGTTGATTACGATTACAATTACGACCACCACAATCACGACCACCATTATCACGATCACGACCACGGCCATGTCCGCGATTGGAGTTTTGTCCCCCATCATCGACCGCAGCTAAGGCTCTTGTACCGCTAATTGCAGTTAAGCGATGAGTTTGCTGGGCCGTATCTTCAGTCTGTAAAGTGTTGATAGCAGTGCGCAGGTTTTGCATACATGCTTGACTTCCTCGGACAAGTGTCTTACAGGCGTCCAAGCCTGCGCCCTGCGGGCCTTCTTTGATCATGCTCAAGAAATTGGTTACCTTGGCATGTTCCGACATGCCATCGCCACAGTTTTTTTAAATCTTCAAAGGCACCAAGAACCCGTGCCGCAAATTTTTCAAAAATAAAATTCTTCTTTCCTTTGTAGTGGGTCCTATTCAAGATGCGATAGGCAGAGTCGCGTCTCTTATTGAGTTGGCCCTCACCCTGATAGTGGACAACCAGATCAAGATACGCTTGTCTTCCATTTTCTGTAGTCTTGTATCCCTTTCTAACAGGCCAAGCATTGGTTCCATGGCATACCGAATATAACATATTCCACACAGCTTTGTTATTAGCGACAAACTGGTCCTCTCGATGCAAGCTCCAACGAATTGCCTCATCTTCCATAGATGGCATAAGGAATCCAGGATCAGCTGTTGGATTGTCGTCCGGATTTTGATGCTCACGGATCACATATGTTAACAAAGTGCCACCTTTTCCGCGATTGCGCTTCAACCACTGTTCCAAGCTCTCCATCAGTTCGACCGTATTTTTATTATCAAATTTGGGAGGCATAACCTCTGAAATATCTTCAAATTCGTTCGACTTGT